CGCCTGGTTGGCAGTTTTACCACCCCACCTCGCGCCGTATCTTTGCGTCTCAGGACGTCACGTTCGACGAGTCGGTTCCCTTTTACCGTCTCTTCCCCTACCGCACTGCCTCGCTCCCCCCCCCCGCCGCTCTTCCTTGCTCCAGGTGCTCCCCAGGTAGACCCCCTCCCCGCTCCCGGTCCTGCTCCTTCAGGTGTTTCTCAGGTAGACCCTCCTCCCTTGACTGCGCCGGTTGAGGTCACTGGTGACTCAGGTCCTCCTGCGAGTGGTCCTGCTCGGGGTGCTGAGCCTGGGGGTGCGGAGTCTGGGGGTGCTGAGTCTGGGGGTACTGAGCCTGAGGGTGCGGAGCTTGAGGGTGTAGAGCCTGGTGGTGCTGAGCCTGCGTGTGAGGGGTCTGGGGGTGCTGAGCTTGGCGGTACTGACGCTGGAGGTTCTGGAGCTACTGAGGGTGCTGGCGCTGGAGGTTCAGGAGCTGCTGGAGGGCCTAGTCCTGGTGGCGCTGGAGCTGGAGGTCCTGGAGCTGTTGAGGGTGCTCGCGCTGGAGGTTCTGGAGTCGCTGGAGGTACTGGTGCTGAGGGTACTGACACCGGAGGTTCTGGAGCCGTTGGGGGTGCGGGCGCTGAGGGTTCTGAGTCTGCTGTTGCGCGGTCTCCTTGGAGTAGCCGCCTTCGTCCACGTGTGCCTCTCACCCCACAGCAGCTGCAGGACTGGTACGGTCGCCGTCAGCGTCGCGCTGCTGGAGCTCGGAGTCGTGCTGGTCCTTTGTCTACTGGAGGTGCTGGAGTTGCTGGTTCTGGAGGGGCTCGTGCTGGAGACACTGAGGCTGGAGACCCTGGGACTGGAGGTGCTGGCTCTGGGGGTGCTGCTGCTGGAGACGCTGAGGTTGGAGACCCTGGAGCTGGAGGTGCTGGTTCTGGGGGTGCTACTGCTGGAGACCCTGCGGTTGGAGACCCTGGGACTGGAGGTGCTGGTTCTGGGGGTGCTGCTGCTGGAGACACAGAGGTTGGAGACCCTGGGACTCGAGGTGTCGGCTCTGGGCCTGGAGCTTCTGGAGCTGCTGGAGGTACTGGAGCTGCTGGAGGTACTGGAGCTGCTGGAGGCACTGGAGCTGCTGGAGCTGCTGGTTCTGGTGCAGCTGCGCCGACACGACTGTTCTTCGCTCCGCCGTCTCCGTCGTCTCTGCCGCCGTCTGCCTCTGTTCTTCGTCAGGTTCTTACTCTTCCGTCGTCTACTGGTCTTCCGTTACAGACTGGCTCGCCGCTGCCTGCTCCTTCTCCTTACGCTGAGCTGACTGGTAGTCCTGCTGTGCGTCGTGAGCCTGCGTCGCGTCCTGTCTCGCCTGCTCGTCCTGGTCGTACCGGTCCTCGTGTTCCTCGTTCGCGTCCGCCGGCTGTCCCCAGCGCGCACCTCGTAGTCCGTCGTCCTTCCTCTGTTCCGCAGCCTGTTCCTCTGCCGTCTCCTCCTGCGTCCTCTTTGCCTGACGTTCCGGACCCTGCGTCTGACCGGTTTCGTGCTCAGCACCCTACTGTCACGCGTCTACTAGCCACAGTTGTCACTGACCCGTCGTTTGAGTCTGCTGCTGCGTCTGCTCTTGTCGCTGAGCTTGTTGACTTTGCTGCTGCCTGTCGTCTAGACTTCACTGCCAGTCTTGTTACTGAGTCTGAGTCTGTCTGTCCTCCGTCCGTCGGGGGTGAGTGTGCTCTTAGCACGGACGTCCTTGAGGACAGGCAGGAGGAGTTCCAGTGCCTTGCTGCTGCTTTACCTCATCTTGTGTCCTCGCTACTTGCCCCTGAGGGAGACCCGGATGCACCAGACATCCCGACTCCGCGCTCTTACGCAGAGGCGATAGAGGGTCCCTACTCCTCTCAGTGGCAGGCAGCCATGGACGCAGAGATGGCTTCCTGGAAGTCCACAGGCACCTACGTTGACGAGGTTCCCCCACCTGGGGCGAACATCGTCAGTGGCATGTGGATTTTCAGGGTGAAGCGGCCGCCGGGTTCTCCGCCTGTCTTCAAGGCGCGTTACGTGGCTCGAGGCTTCAGTCAGCGAGAGGGAGTTGACTTCTTCCAGACCTTCTCCCCCACTCCGAAGATGACCACTCTTCGGGTGCTGCTGCACGTTGCTGCTCACCGTGACTACGAGCTTCACTCTCTTGACTTCAGCACAGCTTTCCTGCAGGGCAGCCTGCACAAGGAGATCTGGCTGCGCCGCCCCCCGGGCTTCACTGGGTCGTTCCCTCCTGGTACCCAGTGGAGCCTCCGGCGGCCGGTCTACGGTCTCCGCCAGGCGCCACGTGAGTGGCACGACACACTGAGGACTACGCTTGCGGCTCTTGGGTTTGCGCCTTCTACTGCTGACCCGTCGCTGTTTCTGCGCACCGACACTTCCCTGCCGCCGTTCTACATCCTCGTGTATGTCGACGACTTGGTTTTTGCCACTGCTGACACTGAGGCTCTCGCCCACGTGAAGTCGGAGCTGCAGAAGAGACACACGTGCACAGACTTGGGTGAGCTGCGCAGCTACCTTGGCTTGCAGATCACCCGAGACAGAGCACGTCGCACCATCACCTTGACTCAGTCACACATGGTGCAGCAGGTCCTTCAGCGCTTCGGCTTCACCTGGTCTTCAGCACAGGCCACTCCTCTGGCTACAGGTCACACGCTCTCAGCTCCACCTTCGGACGAGTCCGTAGAGCCGAGTGGTCCTTACCCAGAGCTAGTCGGCTGCCTCATGTACCTGATGACTTGCACTCGACCTGACCTCGCGTACCCTCTTGGTCTCCTGGCTCGCTACGTGGCTCCTGGTCGGCACCGACCTGAGCACATGGCTGCTGCTAAGAGGGTACTGCGTTACTTGTGCAGCACATCAGGCATGGGGCTAGTGCTTGGAGGGACGAGCCCAGTTGTCCTCACTGGGCACTCAGACGCTTCTTGGGTTGACGACCTGGCTACTCAGCGGTCGTCACAGGGTTACACCTTCAGCCTTGGCTCTGGTTCAGTTTCGTGGCGTTCTACACGCTCGACTTCAGTTCTCGGCTCCAGTTGTGAGGCTGAGATCTACGCCACCGCCATGGCTGCACAGGAGTTACGCTGGCTCACCTACCTGCTGACTGACTTGGGAGAGCAGCCTCGTTCTCCTCCAGTGCTGTACGTTGACAACAAGGCCGCCATTGCCTTGTGTGAGGAGCACAGACTGGAGCACAGAACGAAGCACATTGCTCTGCGGTACTTCCTGGCTCGAGAGTTGCAGCAGCGAGGCCAGCTTCGTCTTCGCCACGTGGCCACTCGGGCCAACACTGCTGACATATTCACCAAGGCACTTCCGTCTGGTGATCATCAGCGCTTTTGTACTCTGTTAGGCCTTGTGCCTACGTTTCCATACTTGCTGTAGTCTCTGCTTGTACTGTGATCTGTACATATATATATATATATGCATGCTGGCTCTTGCTAGGTAGCCATCACTGTACTGTTATTGCTGCATATATATCTCTGCATGTGAACTGGCCCAGTGGCCCTTTGCTTGTGCTCAGAATGCGTGGTGACGTTGTGATCCACCCTGAGCTTGTTTTGCTTCTCTTGACTGGTCGTGTGACCCCTTGTTCTCCCCCACTTTGCCTATGGGGGTGTGTCAAACTATATGTGCTGCATATTGTCTAGGCTGTAGTGGGGTAGCCCACATGGGGTACAACCTAGTTAGGGTTTACTACTTGTACTCCTGCATCCTGTTAGTTCATTCATTCCTGCTGCTAGATTCTAACAGTATTGTCATTTTAACGTTGATTTGCTTGTTATTTAGTATTGCGTGTATCGCGTGTTTTTTGGCTGGGTTTGCCTGAGCTCGTGTTTTTTATTGTGTGAATGTGTTTGTTTGTGTGCGTGCATTTATCTCATCTGTCATTGCAATATCAATGCATGTCTGTCAATTTTAAAAAGGGGGTTCATTTCTATCATTTCTCATTGGTTCATTGGCGCACTCAGTGACTCGTGTGTTTGCCACTTCGAACTGGATTTGATAGAGTGAACCTCTTTTTTAGAGTTAACAGATTGTATTGTTTCATGTGCTAGTTGATTATTCAAAGACTTTGCTATTGACTTCCCCCCCATGCTAGGCAGGGGATGCGGTAGCCTAGTTTTTGGGTCGTTAACTATCACGCATTTGTATGATATACTGGTGTGGTGCATTTCAGCATATCACGTGCATACAGAAGCATTTTCATGCATGTATCGGTATTATGCATCCGTATATCATGACTCATTATTATATTCATTTAAGCATGGTTGGTGTGTAAATCATCACTAATATTCATAATATATATTCACAACAGCATCAAACAGTAAAAGATATAATACAAACAATATAGCAGTTATACACAAAACAACTACAAAAACTGCTATCAATATTCAAAACTGTTCAACAAGCATAATGGGAAGGGTGGTACTGTAGATTACGAATTTTCTTTTCATGGTTTATTTAAAAAAAAAACAATGGAAAAAATTTTGTCAAAATTGATCGTAAAGGGTTGCTTCGCAACCCAAAAAAAAGAGATGTCAAATCATGAACGAGGTGATGCGAGGGGAAGAGAGGTTTGCAAACAGCGCCGGGATTTCAGAGAGCGTTGGCGGCGAAGCTTATGGTAGGAGGGGCAAGAGGGGGATGGGAAGGAAGGGAGGAGAAGAGAGGGGACAAAAAAAGTGACGCAAAAAGAACCGGGACAGCGTGAGCGACGAGAGGGGAGGGGAGAGGGGAAGGACGACGTGTGGGGAGTAAATTACTTACACACTTCGTGCTTCCTAGTGATAAACTAAGAACTAAACGAACTAAATGGTTCCGTAAGTAATTCGCACCTTGGGATGTAAAAACAAAACACTTTCATCCGGTACGGTTGTACTTCGAGCGGAGATAGCGAGCGACGGGGGAGAGGATGGGCGACGGGAAAGAGGTAGCGCGACGGAGAGAGAAGGCTCGATGGGAGAGCGGAAGGGCGACGGGAGAGATGAAGGCTAAGGGAGAGGAGTAGGGCGACTGGAGAGAGGGGGCGCGACGGAGAGAGGAAGCGCGACGGAGAGAGGAAGGCACGAGGAGAGAGGGTAAGGGCGAAGGGAGAGAGGAAAGGCAACGGCAATGAGGAAGCGCGGCGGAGAAAGGAGGCGCGACAGTGGAGGGGAAGCGCGACGGAGAGAGGAAGCGCGACGGAGAGAGGAAGGCGCGACGGGAGAGGGGAAGGGCGAAGGGAGAGAGGAAGGGCGACGGGAAAGAAAGGGGAGAGGAGAACGCAACGGCGATAGTAGGGAGTTGGGGTTTAGAGACGGTGGCAACGGGTGGGAGAGCGCGCAGGCGACGGGAGGGAAGGCGAAGGATTCAACAGCGAGAGCGCGCATGCGACGGGAGGGAGAGCGCGCATGCCGACGGGAGTAAGAGCGCGCATGCCGACGGGAGGGAGAGCGCGCATGCCGACGGGAGGGAGAGCGCGCATGCCGACGGGAGGGAGAGCGCGCATGCGACGGGAGGGAGAGGAGATAGGCGACGATAGGGAGAGCGCGTAGGCGACGACTGCATCGAGGGTGACTTGAGGGGAGGGGAGAAAAAAGAGGTCGCTAGGAAGGGAGGGTTTAGAGCGAGGGTGACGAGGAGGAAGGGAAGAAAAAGAGGACTGGAGGGTAGGTGATGTTAGACGGATAGCTTTCCGCCCGCGTTTGGTTTGGACGTTGTGCGTGAGGTGGAAGGAAATGCTATACGTGTGACGGGAAGAAATAGCATGGCGATAGGAGGAAACATCAGCGCGACGGGTGGAAATAGTAGCACGACAGAAGGACATCAGCACTAAATTATGCTAAGAATAATACGGTACTAGGGACTTCGGGATGGAGAGTAGCTAGTCATGCAACCCTGTGCCAACTTGAAACCAACGTTGGGCTGGCGATGGAAACCATCGCTAGGCAAGAGTCGTGCGGGTGCAGCACGTAGGCATGCGACGGAGGAGATCGGCAAGGAAAAATATTTTGGCGGGAACAAGGAGAATCAAAGATTGGTGAGAGCCAATCACATTTGTTCAAAGTGATAGTCGTTTTGTTCGGAACAGTGCTCTATCGGACCAATCTCTGCGACACAATTTCAAGATGGGACGGGGTTCAATAATTTATATCTCGGTTCTATGGGTTGATAGAAACAACTTGTAGTGTATGGTTTTTGAATATAATTGACACATATATATCACACTGCTTGAAGCTCTTTTGTATATTTCTACACTGCATGCTCTCACAAGCAGTTATACGCAGTCAGAAAGCTAGTCTGTTCAAACATGGATTAGCTAACAGCACACCAAAAGAAACGCTGATGGTAGAAACTCAGGCATGGATCGGTACAGCCACTTTCATGTTATCCGCAGAGCAGTGCAAAGGCACGCTGCATGAGAAGAGAATGGATGTGCCCGCGGCTGAAGCTGGCACCTTGTACCTGACACAAGATTCAAACGATTGGTGGGAGGCGCAAGAAGTAGCCGTTGAAAAAAGACTGCATAAGAAGATGGTGACAAACTATTGAGCTATTTGGGAGCAAAAAAAACGTATAGTGGGAGACCTTGGCAGGTAATCATGTGGGAGTGCGGTGACAGCCGCAACAGGGATCACAGCCACCAGCAAGGAAGTCCAGCAACAGAAAGCTACAGCCACCAACACAAATTCATCACAATGCGTCGCACGCTCACATGTAGTTCCCCGCCCCGATAGTCCGTCTCCTCACCAGCAAAACCAAAACCGGCAGGGATCATGTGCATCTACAAACAAAAACACAGCTTGCACTCGTGCCTACTTCCCAACGTTGTGATGCCGGTCATCACAGTAGCAGCCCCAAAGCATCACGTACCGGTACCAAGCATATCTAAGCTGCAATGCCTCAACTCTTAACGCTCTTTGCACACTCACCTATAATTCCCCACGGATGTGATGCCGGAACGAATGAACTAGCAGGATGCAGGAGTACAAGTAGTTAACCCTAATTTGGTTGTACCCCATATGGGCTACCCCACTACAGCCTAGACAATATGCTGCACATACAGTTTGACACACCCCCATAGGCAAAGTGGGGGAGAACAAGGGGTCAAACGACCAGTCAAGAGAAGCAAAACAAGCTCAGGGTGGATCACAACGTCACCACGCATTCTGAGCACAAGCAAAGGGCCATAAGGCCAGTTCACATGCAGAGATATATATGCAGCAATAACAGTACAGTGATGGCTACCTAGCAAGAGCCAGCATGCAGGTATATATATATATCACAGTACAAGCAGAGACTACAGCAAGTGTGGAAACGTAGGCACAAGGCCCAACAGAGTACAAAAGCGCTGATGATCACCAGACGGAAGTGCCTTGGTGAATATATCAGCAGTGTTGGCCCGAGTGGCCACGTGGCGAAGACGAAGCTGGCCTCGCTGCTGCAACTCTCGAGCCAGGAAGTAACGCAGAGCAATGTGCTTCGTTCTGTGCTCCAGTCTGTGCTCTTCACACAAGGCAATGGCGGCCTTGTTGTCAACGTACAGCACTGGAGGAGAACGAGGCTGCTCTCCCAAGTCAGTCAGCAGGTAGGTGAGCCAGCGTAACTCCTGTGCAGCCATGGCGGTGGCGTAGATCTCAGCCTCACAACTGGAGCTGAGAACTGAAGACGAGCGTGTAGAACGCCACGAAACTGAACCAAAGCCAAGGCTGAAGGTGTAACCCTGTGACGACCGCTGAGTAGCCAGGTCGTCAACCCAAGAAGCGTCTGAGTGCCCAGTGAGGACAACTGGGCTCGTCCCTCCAAGCACTAGCCCCATGCCTGATGTGCTGCACAAGTAGCGCAGTACCCTCTTAGCAGCAGCCATGTGCTCAGGTCGGTGCCGACCAGGAGCCACGTAGCGAGCCAGGAGACCAAGAGGGTACGCGAGGTCAGGTCGAGTGCAAGTCATCAGGTACATGAGGCAGCCGACTAGCTCTGGGTAAGGACCACTCGGCTCTACGGACTCGTCCGAAGGTGGAGCTGAGAGCGTGTGACCTGTAGCCAGAGGAGTGGCCTGTGCTGAAGACCAGGTGAAGCCGAAGCGCTGAAGGACCTGCTGCACCATGTGTGACTGAGTCAAGGTGATGGTGCGACGTGCTCTGTCCCGGGTGATCTGCAAGCCAAGGTAGCTGTGCAGCTCACCCAAGTCTGTGCACGTGTGTCTCTTCTGCAGCTCCGACTTCACATGGGCGAGAGCCTCAGTGTCAGCAGTGGCAAAAACCAAGTCGTCGACGTACACGAGGATGTAGAACGGCGGCAGTGAAGTGTCGGTGCGCAGAAACAGCGACGGGTCAGCAGTAGAAGGCGCGAACCCAAGAGCCGCAAGCGTAGTCCTCAGTGTGTCGTGCCACTCACGTGGCGCCTGGCGGAGACCGTAGACCGGCCGCCGGAGGCTCCACTGGGTACCAGGAGGGAACGACCCAGTGAAGCCCGAGGGGAGGCGCAGCCAGATCTCCTCGTGCAGGCTGCCCTGCAGGAAAGCTGTGCTGAAGTCAAGAGAGTGAAGCTCGTAGTCATGCTGAGCAGCAACGTGCAGCAGCACCCGAAGAGTGGTCATCTTCGGGGTGGGGGAGAAGGTCTGGAAGAAGTCAACTCCCTCTCGCTGACTGAAGCCTCGAGCCACGTAACGCGCCTTGAAGACAGGCGGAGAACCCGGCGGCCGCTTCACCCTGAAAATCCACATGCCACTGACGATGTTCGCCCCAGGTGGAGGAACCTCGTCAACGTAGGTGCCTGTGGACTTCCAGGAAGCCATCTCTGCGTCCATGGCTGCCTGCCACTGAGAGGAGTAGGGACCCTCTATCGCCTCTGCGTAAGAGCGCGGAGTCGGGATGTCTGGTGCATCCGGGTCTCCCTCAGGGGCAAGTAGCGAGGACACAAGATGAGGTAAAGCAGCAGCAAGACACTGGAACTCCTCCTGCCTGTCCTCAAGGACGTCCGTGCTAAGAGCACACTCACCCCCGACGGACGGAGGACAGACAGACTCAGACTCAGCAACAAGACTAGCGGCGTAGTCTAGACGACAGGCAGCAGCAAAGTCAACAAGCTCAGCGACCAAGGCAGACGCAGCAGTAGACTCAAACGACGGGTCAGTGACAACAGTGGCTAGGAGACGCGTGACAGTAGGGTGCTCAGTACGAAACCGGTCAGACTCAGGGTCCGGAACGGCAGGCAGAGAGGACGCAGGAGGAGACGGCAGAGGAACAGGCGGCGGAGCAGAGGAAGGACGACGGACTACGAGGTGTGCGCCGGGGACAGCCGGCTGACGCGAACGAGGAACACGACGACCGGTACGACCAGGACGAGCAGGCGAAACAGGACGCGACGCAGGCTCACGACGCTCAGCAGGACTACCAGTCTGCTCAGTGTAAGGAGAAGGAGCAGGCAGCGGTGAGCCAGGCTGTAACGGAAGACCAGTAGACGACGGAAGAGTAAGAACCTGACGAAGAACAGAGGCAGACGGCGGCAGAGACGACGGTGACGGCGGAGCGAAGAACAGTCGTGTCGGCGCAGCTGCACCAGTACCAGCAGCTCCAGCAGCTCCAGTGCCTCCAGCAGCTCCAGTACCTCCAGCAGCTCCAGTACCTCCAGCAGCTCCAGAAGCTCCAGGCCCAGAGCCGACACCTCGAGTCCCAGGGTCTCCAACCTCTGTGTCTCCAGCAGCAGCACCCCCAGAACCAGCACCTCCAGTCCCAGGGTCTCCAACCTCAGTGTCTCCAGTAGTAGCACCCCCAGAACCAGCACCTCCAGTCCCAGGGTCTCCAACCTCAGTGTCTCCAGCAGCAGCACCCCCAGAGCCAGCACCTCCAGTCCCAGGGTCTCCAGCCTCAGTGTCTCCAGCACGAGCCCCTCCAGAACCAGCAACTCCAGCACCTCCAGTAGACAAAGGACCAGCACGACTCCTAGCTCCAGCGGCGCGACGCTGACGGCGACCGTACCAGTCCTGCAGCTGCTGTGGGGTGAGAGGCACACGTGGACGAAGGCGGCTACTCCAAGGAGACCGCGCAACAGTAGACTCAGAACCCTCAGCGCCCGCACCCCCAACGGCTCCAGAGCCTCTGGTGTCAGTACCCTCAGCACCAGTACCTCCAGCGGCTCCAGAACCTCCAGCGCGAGCACCCTCAGCAGCTCCAGAACCTCTAGCTCCAGCGCCACCAGGACTAGGCCCTCCAGCAGCTCCCGAACCTCCAGCGCCAGCACCCTCAGTAGCTCCAGAACCTCCAGCGTCAGTACCGCCAAGCTCAGCACCCCCAGACCCCTCACACTCAGGCTCAGCACCACCAGGCTCTACACCCTCAAGCTCCGCACCCTCAGGCTCAGTACCCCCAGGCTCAGCACCCCCAGGCTCCGCACCCCCAGGCTCAGCACCCCCAGAAGTAGCACCCCGAGCAGGACCACTCTCAGTAGGACCTGAGTCACCAGTGACCTCAACCGGCGCAGTCAAGGGAGGAGGGTCTACCTGAGAAACACCTGAAGGAGCAGGACCGGGAGCGGGGAGGGGGTCTACCTGGGGAGCACCTGGAGCGAGGAAGAGCGGCGGGGGGGGGAGCGAGGCAGTGCGGTAGGGGAAGAGACGGTAAAAGGGAACCGACTCGTCGAACGTGACGTCCTGAGACGCAAAGATACGGCGCGAGGTGGGGTGGTAAAACTGCCAACCAGGCGCGTCAGGGACAAAGCCAAGGAAGACACAGGGAACAGCGCGGGCGGAGAGCTTGTCTGCGGTGGTATCGCGGACAAAGGCACGAGCACCCCAGACCCGGAAACGCGACGCATCGCCAACCTTCCCCGTCCACAGCAGTGTGGGCGAGGTCTCCGGCAAGGAGACACGGGGCCAGAGGTTGAGCTGATGCGCGGCGTACCGGACCGCAAACGGCCACAGAAAATGGGGGGCAGCCGCATGGATCATGGAGGTACGAGCGACCTCCATGACTAAGCCAATGCGGCGCTCAGCAACCCCATTCTGCTGCGGAGAGGCCGGAAGCGTGAACGACTGGGTGATGCCGTGCTCCGCATAGTAGGCTGCCAAGAGGTCGGAGGAGAACTCACCACCTCTGTCAGAGTGCAGACGCAGGACAGGAAAGTCCGACCGGAACCGCTCGCGGAGCTGGAGACGAACAGCGCGGATCCAGGGGATCAAAACAGCAGGGACGTCCCCCTTGCTCTGCAAGGGGAAGACCGTGGTGTAACGCGTGTAGTCGTCGACGACCAGCAGGAAGTACCGCTCGCGGCCCTGTCCCTGGACGCGGGCTGGGCCCCACACGTCCAGGTGGAGCGTCTGCAGTGGAGCCTCTGTGGGAGGAAACGAGGAGGAGTGAGGAGCGGCGCGCTGCCGCCCCTCGACGCAAGGAATGCAGGGCGGCGCAGGCGAGGGAGGGAGGGCAGGCAGGGACCTGGGAAGACCAGAGACTAGGGAGCGAGAGTGCATGCTACGCAGGCGAGGCAAGGAGGGGTGACCAAGGCGGTGGTGCCACAGGAGAGTGTCGTGCGACAAAGCGCGACACTCGCAGGGGGCCGCCAGCTGACCAGACGCAGACGCAAACGCAGACGCAGCTACCTGAGGGGACTCAGTGGTCAGTGTGTACAGACTCGAGCCAGGTGCACGGGTGAACGTGGCCAAGTGCCGGCCCGTCCTAGCACACGTACAGTGAGTCACTCGCTGACTCGCAGGAGTGAACTGGTCAACCCCCCCATCCTGGAGGTCAGCTCCACTCACCAAGTTCGTAGAGAACGAGGGGAGGTAAAGACCTGACAGCGAGCCGGACGGGACGGCCGGACACGGCAGAACCGTGGAATAGTGGGCAAGGACTGGACCCCCAGAGGGGTCCGCCAGGGAGACCGGGACTGGCCGACGGAGCGGCGTGAGTGCGGTGCAGTCGCGAAAGAAGGAGCGGGAAGCTCCTGAGTCAAGGGTGAAGGTGTGCGAGACCGCAGTGGGCGCAGTACCAGAGAGAGCAGACACAGCAGCACCTGATGCCACGGCCTCACCAGTACCTAGAGCAGTAGACGTACTAGCACCGAGAGCAGCAGCCTCACCAGCACCTAGAGCAGGAGACGCACTAGCACCTAGGGCAGCAGCCTCACCAGGGTCAGGCGGTACGCACAGGCAACAGGCACGGTCAGCACTAGTAGACAAGGCATACATGGCAGTGAGAATAGCATCATAGTCACGCGCAAAGATATCTACCCTCTGTCCATGCAGCTCCAGCCAGGTGGGGAGCTCAGCCTCGTCGCCAAACACTGTGCGCCAGTCGTCGCTCAGACGGGCGAAGCAGCAGGACTGTGTGTGACCAAGCGTCCCACAAGGCTGACCAGTCCTAGCACCTGTGCGAATGACGTACGGGCAGCGAACTGTACGTGTAGACCTGCTACACTGAGCGTACCACTCCTGGAGCTGCCGAGGCGTAAGTGTCTCGCGTGGACGCCCCTGCAGCTGCAGCTGGCCACTGCTAGACGCTCCCAACTGACCAGCCTTAGGGCGACAGCTACGACGGCTACCGCGACAACCCCAGCTAGTATACCACTCACTAAGCTGCTGGGGCGTGAGAGGCTCGCGTGAACGTCGCTGGAGCTGCATCTGGCCACCTGCCAGTAGCAGTAGCAGCAGCAGCAGCGCGGGCAGGGCAGGCGTGGCAGGCAGGCAGGCAAGCAGGCAGGCAGGCAGGCAGGCAGGCAGGAAGGCAGGCAGGCAGACAGGCAGGCAGGCAGGCAGGCAGGCAGACAGACAGGCAGGCCGGCAGGCAGGCAGGCAGGCCGGCAGGCAGGCAGGCAGGCGCGCAGGCAGGCAGGCAGGCCGGCAGGCAGGCAGGCAGGCAGGCAGGCAGGCAGGCAGGCCGTCAGGCAGGCAGGCAGTCGCTCACCAAAGGCTGGGAGAGCAGGCGCTCACCGGGCGAGCAGGGCCGGCGCTCGACAGCGGCGACGTCGGGGCCGCAACACCGGCTGCAGAGCAGGGCCGAAGCAGCTGCAGGGCGGGGCCGCTTCAGCGGCAGTAGCAGGGTGGGGCCGCGTCAGCGGCAGGTCGGGGCCGTGGCAGCTGCAGGGCGGGGCCGCATCAGCGGCAGGTCGGGGCCGTGGCAGCTGCAGGGGGGGGGGGGCCGCATCAGCGGCAGGTCGGGGCCGTGGCAGCTGCAGGGCGGGGCCGCATCAGCGGCAGGTCGGGGCCGAGGCAGAGGGCCGCGCGCGGCTCGGCGCGGGCTGCGCTGACAGCGCGCTGAGCTGCTGCAGGCCGCGCGCGGCCGCGCTAGGCAGTAGCGGGCCGCGCGCGGCTCGGCGCGGGCTGTTGCGGGCCGCGCGCGGGCCGTGCGAGGCAGTAGCAGGCCGCGCGCGGCTCGACGCGGGCTGCGTGGGCTCGGCGCGGGCTGCGCGCGGCAGCTGCGAGCTGCGCGCGGCTCGGTGCGGGCTGCGCGCGGGTCGGTGCGGGCTGCGCGCGGCTGCAGCGGGCTGCGCGCGACTCGGTGCGGGCTGCGCGGTCTCGGTGCGGGCAGCGCGCGGCAGCAGCGTGTTTGCGGGCCTGACGGGCGTGTAGAGGCGGCGCGCGGGCCTTACGGGCCTCTAGGGGCAGCGCGCTGGCCTAGGGCAGCAGGAGGCAGCGCTTGTGCAGCACGTCACAAGGCAAGGCAAGGCAGGCAGGTACGTGGGGTAGCGCGGTAACCGCAGCGGTAGGTGGGCCCGAAAAAAAACGGTCCTACGGACCTTAGTGCTCTGAAACCATGTTAGAATCTAGCAGCAGGAATGAATGAACTAGCAGGATGCAGGAGTACAAGTAGTTAACCCTAATTTGGTTGTACCCCATATGGGCTACCCCATTACAGCCTAGACAATATGCTGCACATACAGTTTGACATGTTTCATTTCAAGTTGGCTAAATACATCAGCCCGCATAACTGAACAGCAAGGTAAAATGATCGAAACAACTTGTAGTGTATGGTTTTTGAATATAATGGACACATATATATCACACTGCTTGAAGCTCTTTTGTATATTTCTACACTGCATGCTCTCACAAGCAGTTATACACAGTCAGAAAGCTAGTCTGTTCAAACATGGATTAGCTAACAGCACACCAAAAGAAACGCTGATGGTAGAAACTCAGGCGTGGATCGGTACAGCCACTTTCATGTTATCCGCAGAGCAGTGCAAAGGCACGCTGCATGAGAAGAGAATGGATGTGCCCGCGGCTGAAGCTGGCACCTTGTACCTGACACAAGATTCAAACGATTGGTGGGAGGCGCAAGAAGTAGCCGTTGAAAAAAGACTGCATAAGAAGATGGTGACAAACTATTGAGCTATTTGGGAGCAAAAAAAACGTATAGTGGGAGACCTTGGCAGGTAATCATGTGGGAGTGCGGTGACAGCCGCAACAGGGATCACAGCCACCAGCAAGGAAGTCCAGCAACAGAAAGCTACAGCCACCAACACAAATTCATCACAATGCGTCGCACGCTCACATGTAGTTCCCCGCCCCGATAGTCCGTCTCCTCACCAGCAAAACCAAAACCGGCAGGGATCATGTGCATCTACAAACAAAAACACAGCTTGCACTCGTGCCTACTTCCCAACGTTGTGATGCCGGTCATCACAGTAGCAGCCCCAAAGCATCACGTACCGGTACCAAGCATATCTAAGCTGCAATGCCTCAACTCTTAACGCTCTTTGCACACTCACCTATAATTCCCCACGGATGTGATGCCGGTCTTCTTAGTAGCTGCGCCGAAGTCGCAGTTGTTGTACGCATCCATGGTGTTCATGATCCACACGTCATGCGGGATGCCCCTCCACTTGAACACTGCACGCAGAGATGGGGGATAGCATGAAAGCACAGGTAAGTGATAAGCGTTGTACGCGTCCATGGTATTCATGATCCACACGTCATGCGGGATGCCCCTCCACTTGAACACTGCACAGAGTGGCACGAACGGTGGCAGGGAAGCAGAAGCAAGTGAGGCCAGTGGGGTGAGGCGAGTGGGATGACGCGAGTGGAATGCGACAGACCAATGAGCAACGCAGAGGGTTGAATACTCAGTATAACATCCGCTTGCAACGACCAAAGTTGTCAAGGAGGGGTCGTGTGAGTATTATAAGTGCATGACGGGAAGGCGTACCGAGAGTGTCTCCCGCGTGAATGACGCCCTTGGGCTTCCACTTCTTCACTCCGAATCCCCACGGACTGAGCCCACTGCCTCCCACTGTGAACACCTTCGCCTGCAGGGCACGGCGATGGCAATAGGGAAGAGAGTGAAACACATGAGGGGAAGACAGACACTCAAAGAGGACAGGATATAATGAGATAAAGAGTGGCAGAGAGGCAGAGGGGTGGCGTTGGGATGTGCGGAGAGGGTAAGGCGGAGAGGGTAAGGCGCTGATGGAGAGCACGAGAGCACGAGCACGAGGCAGGGGAGCAAGAGGCAGGAGAGCAGTACCTCTGACTGGGTTGCGCCTGCCACCAGGAGAATATGGAGAGGGGTAATGGGGGAAGCAGCGGGGGCAGAAAGAAAATAGTAACGGGAAGGGGAAAAGACGGTGGGATGAGCGAGTTATCGAAACAAAGGCTCAGGAACGAGATGATGCGAAGGAAACAATGAATGAGAGCAGCAGAAATGACTTTTGAGTCGACTCAAAAGTCATGTGAATTTTGACTTTTGAGTCGTCTCAGAAGTCACAAAGCCTCAGGAACGAGATGATGCGAAGGAAACAATGGAGAGCAGCAGAGTAGGAGGGCAGGGGGTCAAAACAGACTGGCAGAGACTCTCCAAGAAATAAAGAAAGCCAGCATTCGCGCTAACAGCCAGGAGAAACCGAAGCAAGAAGCAAAATCCGACAAACCTAAGCGAGAGGCTGAGGCGAGAGGCGCGAGAACTACGAGAAAATAAGGACGCAGAGTGACGTGGAGCAATGGAGCGGCGTCGCACGGAACGATTTGAGTGAGTTGCTTATGAGCGAAAAGGGGATGAGCGCGTACAGAGCAGCACGAGAGGCGAAAGAGGGATGAGCGCGTACAGAGCAGCACGAGGAGCGCTGTGGCCGTGAGGGCAATCGCGGCAAGCGAGCGAGCCATGGCGACGACGGAAGGGCGCGCGACAAGGGAGCAGCTTCTCTTGAATAATCGAGTCGCCTCGACGACTACGAGATGGTGTTGGGGAGTCGTACTCGGAGTCGCGTTAAGTTGGGACGAACCGGACGAAAGTCGGAAATCTCGTGCTGGAGGGTCAGATAAATATGGCGAGATGCGGAATGGGGAGTCGGCGAGGAGACCCGAGGATTACTGAGGAAAAGAGAAGCTCGTAATGCCCAAGAATGATTTGCTCGACCTTATTTCTTGCTTGCTCGAGTCCTTTTTCCGTCCCAGCAGCCAAAATGGTTCCGCTTTGGTCGGCTCCTCCTCGTAGTACACGGTACTGTACTCTACTGCCTTTTGCCGAGTGACCTTCCGCGACTGGAGCACGTGATGGCATTCGTTCCGCTCTCCTGCCCATCTTCCCCCCGCGTTCCCCGCGCTCCCCACGCTCCACGCTCCAATCCAATGCAATACATTTCCCCTTCCCCCCTCTACCCCCAGTTTGTTCCTCGCCATCCCCCACTACCCCGCGTCTTTTCCCCGCCAGCCACCCTTTTTGCCTCACGCGGAGATGTGAGGAACAATCGTGGAACGAGGTGGTTTCACCTGGCAGCCGCCAATGACGTTTTCGCCTCGCCTCGCCACGCCAGAAGTACTGTATCGTAACTGTGCTGTTGCCCCATCGCCAGCTGACTGGCGAGCCCCCCACCCCAACTGAGCGAACGAGCGGCAAAACCCCAGCCCGAGAAATCGGACGGCTAAAGATACAGATACAGCAATGTTGAGATGGGAATCGAACGGCAGAAAGGACGATAGGCAGCAAACTTGAAAGACAAGCGAGTCGTCATTGGACGCGTGGCTAACGGAGAGCGACGTTGGCACGCCACCGACAGATTGGTTGGGAAGTCAGATAGCCTATCAGAGAAGCTCTCATGGTCGGTGAATTACTGTACATGCGTCAGTCTGTTTGTGGCAGCTCCGTTACCTCCGTGTGAGTGTGTACACTTCCTAATTTCTTTTCATCTCTACCCTTCACAGCACTCCCGTTCAGAGCATGGCTCTTGTTGCTCTTCAATCAATAACACTAAACATTAAATAAATTGCATAATTATATCAACGCTGGGTTTTCCGTGCGTAGCTTGAAGTTTGGCATGGTCCAGGAAGTTCGTGTGAGTGTGTGTGGTGCCTACAGAAGATGTTATGGTACAGATACCAGTTGCCATGAATCCCACTCCGGAAACTCCAATGCCATTTCATACAAGCGCCATTTTAGAGGTGGAAACTAAATGACTGCGTGCGATCGTTAAAAGGACAAGATTGCATGCACAAGAAAACAAAGGCACAACCGATCTCTCCACTACCCAGACCTTTGAGACCCAGACCCAGACCGTTGAATGCCTACAGCAAGAGCAATTGCTTCTTCAAAAGAATGAGTCGGATGCTCAACACTATGAATTATCAAATCGACCGCATTCGGCTCCTCTTTATCGCCACCAACAACACTCTCGTGTATTCTCAGAAGCTCCGAGACCACTTGGTCCATGTGTGGCCGATGGGATGTGGGCATGGCTGTGCAGCGCAATGCCAACTGTCCCAATTGAAGAAGCATGTCAGTGGGGGCATCTAGTGCCGGGTCCCTGAAACCCTCCGCATCCCCACAGGCCACCAGCGGCTCCACCTGAAGGCCGTAGAGAGATGTTAACCAGCAAAGAAGAAGAAGCGGGCGGGGAAGGAGTATAAGGGGAAGGGCACAGCATGGTAAGAAATGGGAGGGCTAGGGCATGGGCCAGCTGGCACGCTTGAACGGATGTAACACAAGCGCTTGAGCTGCAAAGAGAAGGGGGCGGTGTGGAGGGGGGTTGGGGGAGCATTATGGGGGACATGTTGGAGGATAGTAACCCAAGTCGTTTGCTTTGACAAGAAAAAATAGGGTTTTGAATGGGCTCACCCATTGCCGAATGTGCACGTTCAAGTCCCCGATCTTCTGCAGTGCTCGCCGTGCTGTGAGAAGCTCCAGCATGACCACACCGTAGCTGCAAAGAGGCATTGGAGCAATGGGACCAGCAGGGTGCTTTTAAAGCTTCTTGAAGGGGTCAGCTTGAGTCAGCTCAAGTCGTTTCCCCCAATTCAGCATTGCCACGCCATAGCTGCACAAGGGCATCGGAACACGCCGTAGCATTACCTTCTTTTGCCATACCATACCAAGCGATGCCTGCCTAAGCGACTGGCATACAATTCAACTCCAACACCATTCCATGAGGTGCCAGGGAACGCACCACATATCCATCCATGCAGTGTATTTTGTGACGGTCAGCCAACAGGGGGATGACGACGGTAAGCATCTACAGACCAACCCCCTTCCCCTTCAACTTTATACACCCTCCCTAGCATGCAATCTGTGCTGCTTCGTGTACCCACCCACCTGTACACGTCAGCAGCAGCAGTGGCCTTGCGGGACTTGGAGTAAGCAGGGTCCATGTAGCCCGGGGTGCCCATGATGCGAGTCGTGTCGCCGGTCGAGCTCTCGTCCCCCATGCGCGCAATCCCAAAGTCTGCAATCTTGGCCTGGTGGTGGTGGGGATATGTCAAAGGAAGAAAGATGGGACGGATTTGGCATGCTTACTTGTGAGAAATCTTAGAAGCATGCTCATCTACGCTCCTTACGACCTGGTTTAGTGAAAAAGCAGTTGTGCACACAGAAGCAGTAGTAGGGTGTTCACACAACATTTCAACCTCACCCAAACGTCATCACCCATTTAACCAATTTTATAGGGGATTGCTCCCAAACCCTTCCTGATCCGTACTAACCCATTTTTTACATAAACAGATATGGAACTGGAGCCAAAGGTCTCCAGTTCGAATCCCCAAGAGCACACTCAAAGAGTGCCGTGTTCTGGGACGCCACTAGTCAATGGGGGTGCCCGAAAATGAGTACCTGCAGTGCCGGTATGATAAATAGAGAAGGGCATTAGGAGTGAGGCCTGACGGGTTGGCATTAACCAACATTTTTATGAGTTTGCTTACTCAACAAAACCACTCACCGTCATGTGGCGGTCGAGTAGGACATTGGCGGGCTTGATGTCGCGATGCACGATGCCAAAGCTGTGCAGGTAGTGCAGCCCTCGAGCCATGTCCACCAGCACACTCACACGCTGCTTCAGGGAGAGAGGAGGAGTGCAAGAGTCTGCAAAAAGGGGGTGAAGGAGTAACAGTGAACACACGGAAAAGTGGCAGGAGAGCGATCAAATGGCAGGCAAGAGGCGGGGAGTGTCAGCAGCAACTGATTTTTGCGCAGAAAAGTGGCTGGTGAGCCACACGGCACAGTATTTTCCAACAGACAGTGAGGAAGTAGTGTAACTTTTGAGACGTCTCAGAAGTCATTTGTGGTGAGCCACATGGCACAGTGTATCCCAACAGACAGTGCGTGAACTACTTAACGGTGGAGTTTTCTCACATCACACTTCTGGCCGCTCACCCTTGTGAGCAGCATGCAAGTAGCGCAGCAGGTCGCCCCCATCCATGAACTCATACACCACGATCTGCTCATGCTCCTCCGTCCTCGCGTCCATGTGCACACAGTACCCCAGCAGCCGCACCAAATTCGGGTGGTGCTTCGATGCCATCTGCTGCACCTGTTGGAGTGAAAGGGAGCAGAGGAGAGGAATCGTGATGCTGAATGTTGTAAAGGCACTCTCAAAGCAGCTGTTGCTGTTATCTGCTTCCTGTGTGCCATCTGCTTGTGGGCAGAACAGTACAGCTGCCTTTGGAGTCGACTCAAAAGTCACGTGGGCAAAACAGTACGGCTGCTTTGAGAAAGGAATACACAACTTGCACTTGGCGATGACCTTGGTGCGCTTCACAGCCCACACAGTGCCAAGGTCGGCAGGGTGAACCTTGAGTCAACTGAAGTCACCTCAGCTGGAGCCATGACTCTATCGCACCTCACCCTCACCTCCCGCTTCCCGCCCCCGCCTCCCACCTCACCTCTCTCCGGAAGTCCTTGGTGATGACTTTGGCGCGCTTCACAGCCCACACAGTGCCAGAATCGCCAGGGGGCACCCCTCGGAACACATCGCCATACCCGCCCTTCCCCAGGAGGTTGCGTGGCGACCAGTTGTCAGTAGCAGCAACCAGCTCCTCCAATTGCATCTCCCGACACGAAGGCACTCCGGCTGGGTCCAATGGTGTGCTACTCCAGAGGCCTTGGTCCGCCTGTGCCCCACTCTTGCGCCACTTAGGATTTTTGGACTGTTGAAGATGGTGCCGCAGCCAAAGCAGGAGGGTGAGGATGAGGAGGAGGAGGAGACATGAAGCGCCGACTGCGATTCCTGCTATGGCGGCGGATGATAGTCCTGGTGACGGCTCTGTATGCATAACTGGGCAAGGGTGGAACGGGATGGGAGGGAGCAGAGGGGTTGGGACGTGCTGCCATGGGTTGGGAAGACTTACGAGGTGCCTCAAAACGGCGGGGCTGGGCGGGGCATGACAAGTTGATAAGTAGGAGTGCGAATAATAAGGCTCTATACAGAAACCCGCGAGACAAGAGACAACCTTCGAGGTGCCTCAAGAAAGGTTGCTGCTGGGGGCATGTGGTGCTTTCAGGATTGCCCGTGCACACATGGTGGGTCGCAGCAGTGCGGGATACTACACTGCCAGTCAGGTCAGCAGCATGAAGTAACGTTTATAGGTTTTGCAGCAAAAACCCTAAACCCATATACAAGCAGCACGCCAAGTGCTCATAGCTTGCATGCCCTTCTGCGCATGCTGCAGTTAGGTTTCTGCTTGATTGTCAATTGCTCTTCAAACATCCACAGGAGTAGCCGTGCCACATGCATGAATCACCTGGTGCACAATAAGGGTCGCCTGCAGAAGGATTGAATTGGCTGAAGCCTGCGGCGCACGAGCAGCCGACGAACGCCGACCCGTTGGTGCGGCAGAAGCCGGGGAGACACAAGCCCAGGGTGACATCTAAACAGTTGGCCGACCTGCCTAGTGTGGCATGGAAAGCATGGATCGGGAAAGGGAGGAGTGGGCGGAGAGGCCCCTTTTGAGGCGCCTCAAAAGACATCTAAACAGTTGGCCGGCCTGCCTGGTGTGGCACGGGCGGCGGAGAGAGAGGAACGGGAGAGAAGAGAGGGAAGAGAGCGAAGGGCGGAACGAGTCGCGATTTGATGCGTGTGCGTCAACACATGCACCAAGAAGAGTGCGAAAGCATTATGCGTGTGACTGAAGCTGGTAATGAGTCGACACTGTTTACGAGGCCACTTTACCAAACACTGTTGCCATGCGCTTGCCCGGTAGGTGGCCTGGCACGTGACCTGCATAAGACATGGACTGACCTATTGTGGACTGACAGAACAAACCAAAATATGCCACTGGAGCAGTTGCGCATGCAGTGAGTGAGGTGTGCGGTGAAGGCAGTGAGGTGTGCGGTGAAGGCAGTGAGGTGTGCGGTGAAGGCAGTGAGGTGTGCGGTGAAGGCAGTGAGGTGTGCGGTGAAGGCAGTGAGGTGTGCGGTGAAGGCAGTGAGGTGTGCGGTGAAGGCAGTGAGGTGTGCGGTGAAGGCAGTGAGGTGTGCGGTGAAGGCAGTGAGGTGTGCGGTGAAGGCAGTGAGGTGTGCGGTGAAGGCAGTGAGGTGTGCGGTGAAGGCAGTGAGGTGTGCGGTGAAGGCAGTGAGGTGTGCGGTGAAGGCAGTGAGGTGTGCGGTGAAGGCAGTGAGGTGTGCGGTGAAGGCAGTGAGGTGTGCGGTGAAGGCAGTGAGGTGTGCGGTGAAGGCAGTGAGGTGTGCGGTGAAGGCAGTGAGGTGTGCGGTGAAGGCAGTGAGGTGTGCGGTGAAGGCAGTGAGGTGTGCGGTGAAGGCAGTTGGGCATGTAGCAAGCGAGGTGCACTGACTGTACACACATTCGTATGATCCCATGAGGGAGGAGATTTGAAAAGGCGGAAACGCATCCTTGGATTCGAAACAGGGGGGGTGGCTTGCAGCAGACCAGGATTATTGGCGCCACACAGCGCTGCACCGCACGATGACACGCATGTAAGAGAACTCTTGAAGGAGGGAGAGGGGGGGGGGGGGGGGGGGGGGGGAGGGGGGGAGAGGGGGGGAGGGGGATACTTACTTGGAAGCCTGGAGCAGTTGAAGGGTGCATGGGGCATGGCGCAGGAGCAGGAGTAGGCGGAGCCATCCACCCAGTAGCAGCGCGGCGACACGTCCAAGCAGGCACAGATGGCTTCGGTGCACTGCCATGTGTTCACCTCTGCAGTGAGCAGCAGCAAAGAATGGAATGGACATGTCGTGCCAGGGAGGGTGGAAGCCCGGTTGTTGGGGATGGACAACAAAGCTTCCTTATGCGTTCAGGTTGTGACAAAGCTGGCAGTTACAAAGATAGAAAAAGGATTATTTGCATTTACATCCGTATGCATTATGTCATCAGCGCATGCACCGATGCTGTGACACATGCGCTGGTGCGGCAATGCATGCAAAGGTGCTGCTGTATGCCTATGCCGTATGCCCTAACGCATGCACAGGTGCTGTAAGTAATGGGTGGGGCTGATACCGTAATCCATGCGCAGACAATGTTGATGCTGTGCTGCATGTGCTGATCCATGTAATCTTCCCTTATTTTATCCCCTCCCCCCGACCCCAAATTCCGCCTCTCCCAATCTACAAATTCATGAAGAGAGAGACATGGCGAGTGAATGGTGACAAAAGTGTAGACTGTCCCTCTTGCTGACTCACCTCTGCTGCGTCGTGCTGACTCACCTCTGCTGTGTCGTGCTGACTCATCTGTTAGGGGTGGTTCGCCGAACCACGAAACCTACGGCGAGCTCCAGGACCGACGACGTAAAGGAAGCGTGTGCTTGATTCTAGAGTGAAACGGTGGAAATCGGCCTATGACGGAGAATAGAAGCTACGGCGTGAGAAGCGTGAGAGAAATGAAGAAGATGCGAGAAAGAGGAAGAAGCGTGAAGAAGTTTTGAGAAGGGAGTTTACGAGGCGAAATTCAGGTTCGAGACCAAGGTGTGTTCGAGTAGGTGCTGGATTCGGTGCAGTTGCGTGTGCGACTCGGGGTTAAACAAGGCGCGCACGAAAATACTTGGGAAACACGTTACATTTCAAATCGCATTATTTACCTTGGTTGACATGGCGAGTGAATGATGACGAAAGTGTAGACTGCCCCTCTTGCTGACTCAACTCTACTGCATCATGCTGACTCATCATCCGTGCTACATCATGCTGACTCATCATCCGCGCCCCATCAGGCTCACTCACCCCTGGAGCATGGCACTACTTGGTTGCTTGAATTCGGCACACACCCAGTTTACGAGACGTCTGGAAACCCACCTTTGGAGCATGAAGGGCGGTGGTTGCGGGAGGTGTGCACAAGGCCGGGCGGGCAATCACAAGAGTACCCTGCAGCGCTCAGAGAGTCATTCGCACACGCGCCGGGAAGGCATGGGTTGGTGGAGTAAGCAGCACAGCTGCCTCTGGGGGGCGGCGTTGCTGCAGGCGGCACTGTAAAGAGGGAAGGATGGCAGGGATGGCAGGGGAATGGGGTGCGTGTCAAGGTAAGGGAAGGTACGAATTGGTGGAGAAAGCAGCACAGCTGCCTCTGGGGGGCGGTGCTGCATCGGGCGGCGCTGGATCGGACGGCACTGTGAAGAGGAAGGGACGGCATGGGAACAGGGTGCGTTTGCAGGTAGGTGATGGGTAGATGGACAGGTGAGAAGCAACGACACTGTGAGGTGAGGTGAGGGATGGTGGAGACAAGTGCGTGAGTGAAGCCACCGCTTGTGTTGCGATTCTACACCTTGATAACAAGTCTGTTTTGATTGAGACGTCTCATAAGAAACTTGTTCACGTGGGTAGGGTTTGTCTGCCACAGTGCCATGGCATGTAACGCCAGCGATGCATAACCTATCAGAATCACTCCCACCATGTGTGCCATCCCACCATGCATGCCATTCCACCATGTGTGCCATCCCACCATGCATGTCATCCCACCATGCATGTCATCCCACCATGCATGTCATCCCACCATGCATGTCATCCCACCATGCATGTCATCCCACCATGCGTGCCATCCCACCTGGAGCTGGTGATGGTGCCGGGGAAGGTGCTGGTTCCGAGGGGGGTGCTGGTTCCGAGGGGGGTGCTGGTTTCGAGGAGGGTGCTGTTGAGTTTTGAGCTGTGGGCAGGAGGGATGAGGCACGGTTGGGGGATGAGTGAGTGATAACTCAAGGGCGAGTTTGCGTGAAGGTTGAGCAGCGTGGCGTGCTTGGGCTGGGAGTGCATTAGACCATGCCGAGCATGGCTCAATGGGCAGCATTGCAGTCTCCATGCACACAGCATTGCACAGCCCCAGAGGCGAGGGCAAGCACGCCTTGACACTTGGAATCATTCTCGAAAGTGCGGCCACGATGCTCGCAACAGCATGAATAAGGGGAGGCGGGGAGACTTGCAGAAGAGAAGCGAGAAGCGAACATCGGGAGGGAGAAGCGAAGGAGTGGAGGGTGCAATGAAGATAAGAGGGGAGAAAGAATCAGGGCTGACCAGATTCCGGAGCACAGTAAGGGAGGTTGGAGGACGTGTTGAGTTGAATGAAGCCGGCAGCACACTGGCAGCCTGTGAGGCGCGTGCCATCGTCCACACACACGCCTGGCGCACACACCCCTGCCTGCACGTCCGTGCACCCTGCTGGCCGAGCTGTGAAGTGAAGGGCCGTGGGTTGGGAGGGAGCGGGGTGTGAGAGGGGTGTGGGAGGACGTGTTGAGTGGGGTGAAGCCGGCAGTAAACTGGCTGGCAGCCTGTGAGGCGAGTGCCGTCGTCCACACACACTCCCGGCGCACACACCCCTGCCTGCACGTCCGTGCACCCTGCGCTTGCTGCCTGGCTGTGAGGGACAGGGGGGTGGGGGACAGAGGAACGGGTGGGATGGGCAGGTATTGGTGAGTGCTGCAATGTTCTGACGGCCAGCCTCCAATCCATTCACACACCCGCCTGCTGCCACTTCCGTGCACCCTGCTGCCTGACTGTGCGGAACGATCGGATAGCATTGAGGGGGGTGTGAGGGGGTAACAAGCATAAGTAAATGCGTCTGAATGCGGCTGCTTCGTCACACTCCATGTACACACCCGCCTGCTGCCACTTCCGTGCCTCCTGCTGGCTTGGCGGCGAAGGGTGGGAGGGGGACGGGCAGGTGTGGAAAGGACACCTTAATAGTTGATTTGTAGGGAGATATCGACGAGCAGGCAGATGAAGAGACACGGCATGGGTGAGTGGGGAGCTGATGTGGGGAGGCGTTTGGAGTGTGTGGCGATGGAAGAGGGGGAAGTGCATGGCATGAAGAGGGGAAAGCGAGGACGACGAAGAGTGGGGGGGATAGAATGGGGCTGAATGTCTGGGCAGGGCTCGGTAACAGATGGTTGGAACCAGTAAGAAACAATAGGATTGAACTACATTGTTGGCAGCACAGAATTTGAGATGCCTCAAGCGAATGTTTTCGCAGGATATGTTTGGCAACACAGGGAGGAAGAAGGGTATGGAAAATCGACTGGGAAGGTAGTGTGGGTGGTGGGAGAATGAGCAGACATTATGAGGGAGTGAGGGAGGGCAGGAGGGAAGGAGGGAAGGAGGGGGTAAGGAAAGGGTGTAAATGGGGAGGCTGGGGTGGTGGGCGGTGAGACGGACATTTGAGTGGTGTGCAGGTCCAGGGCCGTGTTTGAGGGTTGGAGCAGGTGCAGGAGTAGGTGGAGGTGTTGTAGTAGTAGCAGCGAGGGGTGGCGTCAAGACACGCCATGAGGTTGCTTATGCACTGCGGCACCTGATCTGCTGGTAGCCACGTGGGTTGGGGGGCAGAGCAGAGGCACATGGGAGGCACGAGGCATGGTAAGAAAGTAACAGGTTCAGGGGCGTGGGTAAACGGAGGCTTCTGGAGATTGAGATTAACGTTGCGAACGCCATCTTAAAGTTGACCATATGGCCTTTCTCTCAAGAGGGAACTACCTCAAGGCTCAAGGTGAACCTATGTGAAGAGTTCTATTCTATGCTGATCCAGCGTCTGCAAGACTCCTCTCCACCTAGTCTCCAGTGACAGCAACACCTAAGACCAACTTGGTCTTACAGGAGCCTGTGAATCTTACTTGCATGCTTGAAGCTGGTAACAATCAACCTCACGCCAGCTGTCTTTTGGGCTATGACGAGGTTTTCCTATGCGCCTGCCCGCGCCACGTGGTCTTTCCCAAATGGCTGGAGTTGTTGGTCCTGGGGACGTGCGAATCTATTCACGAGTCAGTCACTATTTCGAGTAAACGCCGATACAACTGTAGTTGTTATTTCACTATGAATGTCATTCATAGCCTATATATTCGGATCCATTGTCCGATACAGCCATCACCATTGGCAGGCCAGCCGTCAAGATCAAGGCATGAGTCAACCTTAGTTGCCACAAATCGCCAGGCCGACTCACCCATAAGCTGTCCATCGACTCTTGTCGCGAGCATGGCTGCGAGCAGCATGGCCGTCACGGTGACTGCCGCAGACGCCACGGCCGGCAACCGTTGCATGATGGCGATGGTGATGGGCCTCAGGTACGCGCTCTCACTCAACTTGAAGACCGGAAGTTTGCTGATGGGACTCCGAGACGCTTTTACTGTCGACGGTAGTCTCGACGCTAATCTGACTCCGAGTCAGAGTCTAAATGCGGACGATGTCTAGATGCTGCTGAGGCGTGCGCAAGGCGAGTGGAGCACAGGGAGGACGACGAGGATAGCACCGGCCTTTTCAGTAGTACGCTCCGATGAGGAGGATTATTGCTGAGGTAATTGTACTGGCAGAATGAGAGGTCCTTGGATAGAATAAATGGGATTCCATATTATTCTAGAATAGATGAAAAAGTTCTTGACTCGCGAAAAGGTGAAGAAGCGATTCTAGAAAGGGTTGAGCCTGGGAAAACGGAAGGTGATAGTAGCTTTCTAGGACAGAAATGAGACAAATGGTTCACTTCGCCGCGATAGGAAAACGCTCGTATGAAAAGAACCGGACCGAGACGCGACTGCTGGTATGGTAGCTGTCGAAATGTACGAAACGTATGCGCCCATTCTCTGCGGTCCAGTGGAAACCTTGTCTTGCCTCTCGGCGAGGCGGAGATGACGAGCGATGGATTGCGGTTGCGGCCCATTGCCATGTTGTTAGTTACACACGCGTAGGGAATGCAGGCAGGCAGTTCCCGTGAATGGTGGAAGACGATACGTTGGTGGTGTGAGCTGGCAAGGCAGCGCAGAAAAGAACACCCACGCTGACAAGGTACCACTCCAAAACTGGACGGTGCGCTTTCATGTCAAGCACTTCCCGAGTCAACCACAGTGTGGAGCCCAATGAGGTGGGGTGAGGAACGGTGGCTCACGATTTTAGATGGTATTACAAAGTTGAGCGGAAAAATGTACCATATGCCTTTGTTTGGGTTCGGCATTTGTTAATGCAGGTTTTGGGCCTAACCCAGATGCACCATATACCATTCAGTGCTGATTTCCTAGGACAACTTTTTCTTCCCTAGCTGACTTTCACCCTTTCCCCTCCTCTCCATGTGTCATAGCATTTGTTTATGTAGATCCAACCCACCCAACTTACAAATAACGTCTCCACACTGTTTGTTTGTGGCATGCATGCTCAATCCTTTGCATGTTTGCAACCCAGCAGAGTAGAGTGTGGAACAGCGTACGCAGCTGTTAGAAGTGCCACTGTGAGGTAATTGGCTTCACTTCATTCTCTGCTAAAGCAGTTATATACAAGCAAAAAAAAACCTTCAAGACGGACGCTATAATCGGAGTAATCTCTTATGCATGGATTGGTACAGACACTTTCATGTTGTATGCTGAGCAGTGGCCAGGCACGCTGCAGGAGAAGAGAATCGACGTGCCTTTTGCTGAAGCTGGAACCTTGTACCTGAGACAGATGATTCACACAATGAGTTGAAAGCGCAAGGCAAAGCCACATAAGAAACACTTGAATCACAGGACGGTAACAGTTGCCTGAGCTACTTTGGAGCAAGAGATACCTACAACAGGAAACCTCGCAGATGCTTGAATAAAGTGCTGTGGCAGTGGCAGCAGAATCACATCAGCCACCAACAAGGAGTCTTATGAACATTCAAAGACTCAATAAGTGCTGAACATTCACTAGTACTCCCCACCTCTTATGAACCCTGTCTCCTCAGCGACACCCCTTGAATCGCGAGTATCGTGCGCATCTACAGTGCATGGTCTCAACTCGAAACGCTATTTGCACACCCACGGTCAACCACGTATATAATGCCGGCCTTGTTACTGGCCGCCCCTAAACAGCAGCACACATCTCTACAGGGTGCCTTGTCTCATCTCATCTCAAGAAGCACTTCACACACTCACTTGTAATACCCCACGGATGTGATGCCGGTCTTCCTAGTGGCGGCAGTGAAGTCGCAATTGTTGTACGCGGCCACAGTGTTCATAATCCACACGTCATGCGGGATGCCCCTCCACTTGAACACTGCATGGAGTAACACGGACAGTGGCAGAGAAGCAGAAGCACCAAGTGGCTGCTGTAGAGTCGCAGGTATACAACATCAGTTGCTTATCCATGGAGTTTATGCTCCACACATCATACGGAATGCCCCTCCACTTCAACACTGCAGGCAGTGGCGCGGACGCAGGCAGGGAAGCACAAGCAAGGGAGCGACAGCGTTGCATGCATTGAACGCGTCTACGGTGTTCACACGTCATGCGGAATGCCCCTCCACTTGAACACTGCGCGCAGTGGCACACACCGTGGCAGGGAAGCACACGCAGGGTGAGGCCAGTGGGATGAGGCCAGTGGGATGAGGCGAGTGGGATGAGACCAGTGGGATGAGGCGAGTGGGATGAGACCAGTGGGATGAGAACAGTGGAGCAAGACGACAAACAAGCATAAGAATTTTGGCAGGTTGAGTACTCATACCAGCATGGACCAGAGGAAGCAGAATGTAACCCGGGGAATCGATACAAGTCTGTCCTTGCTAGAGACACAAACCACTGCCAACGAGGGGTCGAGTAGTGTGAGTACGATGGAAGGATGAAGAGGAGACGTACAGAGAGTGTCCCCCGCGTGAATGCCTCCCTTGGGCTTCCAATTCCTCACTCCGAATCCCCACGGACTGACTTTTAGTCTGACATGGGCTTCCAATATGAAAGCCACCTCGCTTACCGAGAGTGTCTCCGGCGTGAATGACGCCCTTGGGCTTCCACTTCTTCACGCCGTAGCCCCACGGGCTGATCCCTCTGCCGCCCACTGTGAACACCTTCGCCTGTTGGGCGGTCGCGACAGTAGAGAGGAACGCAAAGGTCAGTCAGACACAAGGGTTAGCGGGACGGCGTAGAGATGTGCGGAGAAGGTGAGGTGGAGAGGGTGAGGCAGATAGGACGCTTTTGAGTCGACTCAAAAGCAGTAGAGAGGAATGCAAAGATCAGTCAGACACAAGGGTTAGCGGGACGGCGTAGAGATGTGCGGAGAAGGTGAGGCGAAGAGGACGACTGGAGGGACTTGAGAAGAAAGGACTGGGTAAGTAAGGGGGAGAGGAGGGATGGTGCATGCGAGGGCATGAGAAAGGAGGCTGGTTGTGTGCGAGAAGAGAGCGTAGGAGGAATGGCGAGATGAGTTATGATCGGAGGACGAGACGAGCATGACTTTGGAAGGAAGGATTCTACGAGTAGTGCTAGCAGTGAAATTCTGAAGGCGAAGAATGTGTGAAGTCAGGGACGCATGCAAGGACAGGCTTAAAAGTTGGAGACGGAAAGCAAAGAGAGAGGACAGGAGGGCAGGAGAGCAGAAGGCAGGATAGCAAGAGAGCAAAAGAGCAAGAGAGGCTGAAAGCAGGAGGGAAAGAGAGCAAGAGAGGCTACAGGCAGGGCAAGCGAGCAGTACCTCTGACTGGATTGCGCCTGGCACCAGGAGAAGTGTGGAGAAGGGGTAGTGGGGGGAGCAGAGGGGAGAAAGAGAGAACGCAGACACAGGAAGGGGAAAAGCGGGAGGGATGAGCGGATGACGAAAACAGAGGCCTATAGGAAAGAGATGATGGTTGAAGAAGCGAGGAACAGCAGCAGAGCAGCAGAGCAGCAGAGCAGCAGAGCAGCACGAGAGTAGCAGAGCAGCAGAGTAGGAGACTAGCAGAGCAGCAGAGAAGGAGACTAGCAGAGCAGCAGAGCAGGAGACTAGCAGAGCAGCAGAGCCGGACAGCAGGGGGGAAGAACTGACGGGCTCTCCAAGAAACAGGAAATCCAGGATGCGCACAAAAAAACAGGAGAGACCGAGGCACGCGGCGAAGGCCGAGGCGTGCTGATGCGAGGGACGCGGGAACTACGTGGAAATGAACACAGGACGGGAGCGCGACGCGGAACGACTCGAGTGGGTTTCTTAAGATGATAAAAGACTCCTAGTCTCCATAGGCGAAAGAGGGATGAGCGCGTACAGCGCAGCACAAGAGGCGAAAGGGGGGTCAGCGCGTACAGAGCAGCACGACGAGCGCTGTGGCCGTGAGGGCAATCGCGGCAAGCGAGCGAGCCATGGCGACGACGGAAGGGCGCGCGACAAGGGAGCAGCTTCTCTTGAAAAGGGCGCCTCGACAACTAAGAGAGGCAGCGTTCTTGGAAAAGCGGAACGGATCGAACCACGCGTGAGTGGGGAATGAGGACTCGAAGACGAGGACTAGCAGAGAGAAAAAGGAGCTGGAGGTCCGGTCTGGCTGTGTCCGAAACAGCCTGCTTATTTTATACGGACTGTACCCAGACCGGGTGACTGTGGCTTCGTGTGCTCGGGTCGTTCTTGCGTTCTGTGCGGTGTCCGCTTTGGTCGGCTCTTCCTTCCATCCCATCCCTCCATTCTTGCGCCTACTGCCTATCACCGACCAACTGCCTACGTCGTCGCCCTGCTTCCGAAACACGACCAATGATGAAAGCATACTTCCCACTCCCCCATCCAGTGTTCCCCGCGCGCGCTCCGCGCATCGAGCCGCCCTATCCCAACCTCACACTCCCGAACCCCCGTCAATCGAATGCCTGGCGAGGCGACCTGGAGAGGACGGGAGAAACCTGTGGAAAGCTCGTGGAACGAGCCTGATGCACCTGGATGCCGCCCACTGACGCCATCTCTAGGGCATCAGCCTCAAGCGTGAACGGCGTGAGTGAGCTGCGAAACCGAGGCCTGGGAAATCAGGCGGCTGAGAAAACAACGTACAGATACAGAATCGTTACATCGGGGATGTTTGTGTTCATAGCTCGTGATGGAGAAGCGAGTCGGCACCGGACGCGTGGCGAACGGAGCAACGCCAAGCCATTCTATCGTACCGACAAAAAGTCAGGTGGCCTATCATTGCACCTGGAATACGTAGTCGGTGCATCAGTTCGCAACAGCCCCGTGTAGACATGAGAGGTAAGGGGGCGTCATTTTCATTTCATAATTGCTCAAGACCCGTCCGGACCATTCTAAATAACGTTGGACCGCTGTAGAACGCAAAGCATTTTGTTGGGACATGTGCATCCGCCATCGCCCTTTGCGATCCTGGTGCTTCGTTTTGGTTAAAAGTTGAGGAATTGTCCACTTCGCTGTAGATTTGCATCTCAAAATGAACTACAAACTACTGCTTCATTTCTTTCACCAGCCATAGCTGCTCAAGCTCAGCACAAGCTCATCCCTCATCATCTTACAACGAGAACAAGCAAGTTAGCAAGGATGTAGGTTTCCCTTAAAAGGGAAACAAGAACGACACAGTTAACCCAGTTATCACATCTGCTCGCTCAAGGATTATCAAGTGCCTTACCACGATTATTGGGACTGTTCTCTGCTTGTTCAACACAAATGTCAAGACAGGCATCAACTTGTTCAAAACACACGAAGTGCTTCAAAGCCCTGCCACCGTCTGTCCAACACCCATGTCTGCCACCTCCTTGAAAGCAATATCCGCCACAACGCCAACCCACAACCTATGAGAAACTGGTGACACAAGCAAACACCCACAACACTTCGGACTGTTGCCAGCATTCACTTCTTCTTGGCAGCGGCCTTGGTGACCTTGGCACCAGAGGGATCCTTCTTCTCAACGCTCTTGATGACACCGACCGCAACCGTTTGCCTCATGTCACGCACGGCGAAGCGACCAAGAGGAGGGTACTCAGAGAAGGTCTCCACGCACATGGGCTTGGTGGGAACCATCTTCACGAAGCAAGCATCACCGTTCTTCACGAACTTGGGCTCCTTCTCCAGCTCCTTGCCGGAACGCCTGTCCACCTTGGTGATGATCTCAGAGAACTTCACGGCAATGTGGGACGTGTGGCAATCCAGCACAGGCGCATAGCCGTTGCCGATCTGGCCAGGGTGGTTCATGATGATGACCTGCGAGGTGAAGTTGGCAGCCTCCCTGGCAGGGTCGTTCTTGGAGTCGGAGGCGACATAGCCGCGCTTCAGCTCCTTCACCGACACGTTCTTCACGTTGAAGCCAACATTGTCGCCGGGGGCAGCCTCGGGAAGAGACTCGTGGTGCATCTCCACCGACTTCACCTCAGTGGTCAGACCGCTGGGAGCGAACACCACAACCATACCGGGCTTCAGCACACCAGTCTCCACACGACCGACCGGAACTGTTCCAATACCGCCGATCTTGTACACGTCCTGAAGGGGCAGACGCAGGGGCTTGTCGGACGGCCTCTTGGGCTCAGTCACCTGGTCCAGAGCCTCCAGCAGGGTGGGGCCCTTGTACCAGTCCAGGTTGGTGGAGCGCTCAATCATGTTGTCACCCTCGAAACCGGAGATGGGCACGAACGGAATCTTGTCGGGGTTGTAGCCGACCTTCTTCAGGTACGACGACACCTCCTTCACAATTTCCTCGTAACGAGCCTTGGAGTACTTGGGGGTGGTGGCATCCATCTGCACAACGCAAACGATATCAACGTTGATACAGGAAGACGTAAGCAGACACCAAGACAGCAAGAATCAATAATCGCTTAATCAGATCAGGATGAAAATTTTGCGATATCGAAGACAAAATCGATTCCAAACTTACCTTGTTGCAGCAGCAGATCATCTGCTTCACACCAAGGGTGAACGCCAGCAGAGCGTGCTCACGGGTCTGACCGTCCTTGGAAATACCGGCCTCGAAACCACCAGTGGTGGAGTCAATGATTAGAACAGCGCAGTCAGCCTGTAACAAACACTCCAAATGATAATCAGATCGAGAATTCAGAACATGGAATCAGACTAAAAAACATTTCAAAACAAACATGAAGCAATCTACTAACCTGCGAGGTTCCCGTAATCATGTTCTTAATGAAATCGCGATGGCCGGGAGCGTCGATGACCGTGCAGTAGTACTTGTTGGTCTCGAACTTCCACAGGGCGATATCGATGGTACGAGATACCACGCTCGCGCTCCGCCTTGAGCTTGTCCAGCACCCAGGCGTACTTGAAGGACCTCTTGTTCATCTCAGCGGCTTCCTTCTCGAAACGCTCAATCACACGCTTGTCAATCCCACCCAGCTTGTAGATAAGATGACCAGTCGTCGTCGACTTGCCGGAGTCGACATGGCCGATGACGACAATGTTAATGTGCAACTTTTCCTTACCCATGTTGGCAACCTGAAAGGGATAGACAGTGGCCAAAATAGAAACAAAAAAAAGAGCGAACTATTTCATTAGCCCATCACAGACGCAACGTCGGATACGACCTAAGATAATAAGAAAGGTCATCGTAATTGATGCTCTGGCTCCAACGCGAAGGGCAAGAAATAGTCAAGCAGCCATGACAACCAGACCTACCTGAGATAAGGGAAGGGCTGGAAATTCAGGCAGGAGGCAGAAAGGGCGAGAATGAGGTCCAAACCCCAAACTTCAGTTGAGAGAGGAGTGACTGGGAGATGATTGGCTCAACATGGTAAGATCCACCAGACCCATGTTTTGACGGGACGTAGACTGCAAGGGGACAGAACTGTCATAATCGACGTCCCAGTTGCCGGTTGCGAAAATAATATAAGGCTGTGATTCGTGGCGAAAGAGCCACGTGGCGTTACTGTGCTGGGTGTCTGTGATCTCTGAGACAGGCAGAATGCGAAGCCCAAAAGTCGAGTCGGTTTATCTCCCTCAAAAGGCAACAAATGGCCAAACAATAATGTTGAGAGAACATGACGGGCATAACAAAGGATAATGCTTGCACACGTCCATTTACATCACCAAACCAAACATTGGTTGATCCACCAAACCAAACATCATTATAAAAAACGAACACACACACACACCATTGACAAAACCAGACATAGTTTGCTCATGTCTGGTTCCTCTCCAGACCAAGCAATACTCGTAGAGGGTATAGGAAGGAGGGAATTTTGCTGTAAACGTGTTGTGCACGGTGCACCGTATGTTCGCTGCATAATCGATAATTTTAGGGGACTTGAGAAAGTTTTTTCCTTGTCGTGCTGAGCACCCCCTTATATTCTGCACATCTCAATACGTAAAGAACGTTGTGTGTAAGGCAAGCGGGTTCAAAGCCCAACATTTGCGGTATGCCATGCTGTATAACAAGAACTATGGTCGATTTGAGGGCCAAGAGCAATACCGTATTGGTTTTGTGGGTCAGGGTATCATCCACATACAGAATACCCTGTGTACCAGAGCTGATCCTTTCTTTTCAGAAACATTAGGTTCGTTTGATTTAGAATTCTCAATAAGCATACACAACACAGCAATTGGATAAAGTCAAGAGTTCAGCAAAGGGACATCACAAGACGACTTACAGACATTCCAGCCATTCATCTCAACAAACACTCCCTTGTCACACTTGCTGCCTGAACAGCTCATGACCCTGGAGGACCTTCCCTCAGCACACGTGCAAAAAGGTTCATGAGCAAATTCCACCTCTACAGTGACCTCCTCGCCAGGGAGCAGTGAGAGGTAGTTCTCAGAGTACAATGCAGGCAGCACCCTCTCGCCGTCCACCCGCTGGCGCATGGTGAAACGGACGAAGAACGCCACACCTCCAGCGGCGCTCTCGTCCCCATTCACCCCTACAGCAGGGTCAATCTGAAGATCAGTGAGTGCCATGGTTGCTCCTCCCTTTCCTTGCTGTTCTGTGCTCTGCCTTCCACCCAAAGCGCCTCCCTTCACAGGATTGCTCACCAGCAGATACGCCCTCCACCAGATAGACCTCCCTCCATGGGACTCACTGGGCGGCAGGTGCTCCCTTCCCTCTCCACGGGAAGGGGCGGAGGAGACGCGGAGGAGGGAGAGCGAGAGGTGCAGCTTGTGGTGGCGGAAGGCCCCCCCCAGGCCACGGAAGTCGCCCAAGTAGGCATAGGAGGGGGAGGGGGCGGAGGGGGAGGAGAGCGAGGGGGTGGAGAGGGGGGATTGGGTGGAGGGGAAAGGTGGTTCGGCTGGAGTAGAGGGGTTGGAGAAAGGAGAGGGGCTTGAGAGAGAAGCGGGACATAGAAGGGTGGTGGTGCTTCCATTGGACATCTGTGCTAGTGTTGTTGATGGTGCTGATGGTGCTGCCGAAACTGATGGTTCTGATCGTGCTAATGGTGCTGCTGATGGCTCTGATGGTGCTGATGGTGCGGCTGGTGGTGATGCCACTGATAAGAGAGTGGTGGTGCTGGGTGCGTCCAGAGGCAGTGCGGTGAGCCAGTAGAGGTTGCGCGACACTGTGCTGGCTTCAGACCAGCCCAGGGGAGCACATGGTGATGCTGGGAGGTGGGGCGAGGAGCAGGAGTGGTATGGGGAGGAGGGGAGCGGTGCAGAGGGGTGGGAGGGGTGGGGGCAGTGGAGCAGGCGGAGGAGGAGGAAGACGGTGGGGGGTGGGGTGGAATGGGAGACAGGGAAGCGGGGGAGATGCACCTGGGGGGATGGAGTTGGGGGAAGGACAGGGAGGAAAGGCATGGGCAGGGCGAACTGCGTGGAAAACGTTGAGAGGGCTCAGAAAATGAGTTGGATAAAAGATGAGATATGAACATTGAAAGAAAGAAAGTCCAATTTGGATGGAGAAAGGCTTGGGGCTGGGAGGGTTGTTGGCATGGATGGGATGAAAGTGAGTGACACTGTGAGACTAATCCGTGCCTGCATGACCGCATGACCGCACTCACCGCATGCTCGCATGTGCACAAGCTTTGGCACCAACACATTCCTATGTGCCTGCAGCTGTGATTAACTGCACTGCACCCGACTGTCATTCCGCCACGTGCTGCCCTCATCTGACCGATGCAGCATCCACCTGAACCTGTGCCCTTCTCACCTGGAGCTGAGTCTCCATGCAGGAGAATGGCGGGCAGGTGAGTGAGTAGGGAGCAGGTGGGGGAGTGGGAGAGGCAGCCAGGGAGGAGGAGGAGGAGGCGTGCCAGAGGCAGTGACCACTGGGAAGGTGGATGGAAGCTTGCACAACGAGGGAGGAGAGAGCACGGGACGTAGTGTTCACCACCTGATGGGTGCAGACAGGTGGAGAGGGGGAATGGGGGGTGGAGAGGGTGATGGTCAGAATGGTGAGGGTAATGACTGTGCAGTGAACGAAGGGAGTGACAGAGGATAGATCATGGGCTGTGGTGCTCACCACCTGATGGGCGCAGACAAGGGAAGTTGGAGGAGGGATGGACGGAGGAATGGAGATGGCAGGGAAAGTGGTGTTGCTGCAGGGAAGGGAGCTGGCCCTCGCAGCCCCTCCCATTGGCCGAATTTGAGTCTGCCTCTGTAGCAAGGGCCGCAAGCGCAGCTGTAACACACGGCACACAATCCCCCACGCCTGCACTCGCCACACATCACCTGACCACACACGCACCTGCACTTGCCCCGAGTGTAAATCCAGCTGCACGTGAAGGGGCTCCAAGGCACAGCGCATGCCGTACAGCCCGCCGGTGGGGGCCAGCAGGTGGCTTTGCAGGCCCCCTTCAGTGGGTAACTTTGAGTCTGCCACTGTACCTGTAACAACTGACGACCACGCACCTGCACTTGGGCCGTGTGCAGGTCTAGCTGCACATGCACGGGCTCCAGGGCACAGCGCACGCCGTACAGCCCGCCAGAGGGGGCCAGCAGCAGGGGTCGTACAGCTGCCCTTGCTGGTCCCCAGTGGCCGAATTAAGGCCTTTCCCTGTAGTCACATCACATGGTAACGCATGGTACACAATCAGCACGTACCTGCACTCGCCCCGTGTGTAAATCCAGCTGCACGTGCACGGGTTCAAGAGCACAGCGCACGCCATACAGCCCGCCAGTGGGTGCAAGAAGGTGGTCGTACAGCTGGCCGCGCAGCCCGCCCCAGGGGTTCTGCCCCTTCCACAGCAGCACCCCCGTGTAGCGCTGCCACATGCGCGCACCCCATGCCTCAAAGAGTGACCGGTACTGCAGGTAGTTGGCGAGCTGGGCCTGGTGGGAGGAGGGATTTAGTCGGAAGGAGAAAATGAGTGTGGTGTGTTTCCGTACAGACCACCCATACGTTCGATGTATGCAACTTGCATGCGTCCCATGCCTCAAACAGCGAGCGGTACTGCAGGCAGTTGGCGACTTGAGCCTGGCGGTATGGAAATGTGGGTAGACCAGGCGATGGCGGTTGGCGGTGTGTGGATGCCACATGCCGCATGCGTGTGCTGATTGAATTGAAGTGAGACGAGTGGCACTGCAGGTAGTTGGTGAGGTGGGCCTGGTGGGGTGAGAGGAAGAAAGGGGTGTTAACGTGCTTGGCAATCAGAACAGATGCACCAGCCTGGCAGAGAGGTATGTAAGAGTGCCGCATGTCGACTGGGGTAGATTGGCGGATGTGGATGAAACATTGGGGGGGGAGGGGAGTAATGATGGCCACGTTGACCAACCAGCCACTAGTCACCTTGATCACCCTCACCCACCAGCAACTGCAGCCCTCACCTTCCCACAAAAGTCATCAAGCCCATCCAGGGGGCCATATGTGAGGATCTGGTTCTCCAATTGCTTCCACTTCCCTTGCACCCACCCACTCCGCTTACTTGCGCCCCTGCACCACTGGCCTCACCTTCCCACAAAAGTCATCAAGCCCATCCAGGGGGCCATATGTGAGGATCTGGTTCTCCAATTGCTTCCACTTCCCTTGCACCCACCCACTCCGCTTACTTGCGCCCCTGCACCACTGGCCTCACCTTCCCACAAAAGTCATCAAGCCCATCCAGGGGGCCATATGTGAGGATCTGGTTCTCCAATTGCTTCCACTTCCCTTGCACCCACCCACTCCGCTTACTTGCGCCCCTGCACCACTGGCCTCACCTTCCCACAAAAGTCATCAAGCCCATCCAGGGGGCCATATGTGAGGATCTGGTTCTCCAATTGCTTCCACTTCCCTTGCACCCACCCACTCCGCTTACTTGCGCCCCTGCACCACTGGCCTCACCTTCCCACAAAAGTCATCAAGCCCATCCAGGGGGCCATATGTGAGGATCTGGTTCTCCAATTGCTTCCACTTCCCTTGCACCCACCCACTCCGCTTACTTGCGCCCCTGCACCACTGGCCTCACCTTCCCACAAAAGTCATCAAGCCCATCCAGGGGGCCATATGTGAGGATCTGGTTCTCCAATTGCTTCCACTTCCCTTGCACCCACCCACTCCGCTTACTTGCGCCCCTGCACCACTGGCCTCACCTTCCCACAAAAGTCATCAAGCCCATCCAGGGGGCCATATGTGAGGATCTGGTTCTCCAATTGCTTCCACTTCCCTTGCACCCACCCACTCCGCTTACTTGCGCCCCTGCACCACTGGCCTCACCTTCCCACAAAAGTCATCAAGCCCATCCAGGGGGCCATATGTGAGGATCTGGTTCTCCAATTGCTTCCACTTCCCTTGCACCCACCCACTCCGCTTACTTGCGCCCCTGCACCACTGGCCTCACCTTCCCACAAAAGTCATCAAGCCCATCCAGGGGGCCATATGTGAGGATCTGGTTCTCCAATTGCTTCCACTTCCCTTGCACCCACCCACTCCGCTTACTTGCGCCCCTGCACCACTGGCCTCACCTTCCCACAAAAGTCATCAAGCCCATCCAGGGGGCCATATGTGAGGATCTGGTTCTCCAATTGCTTCCACTTCCCTTGCACCCACCCACTCCGCTTACTTGCGCCCCTGCACCACTGGCCTCACCTTCCCACAAAAGTCATCAAGCCCATCCAGGGGGCCATATGTGAGGATCTGGTTCTCCAATTGCTTCCACTTCCCTTGCACCCACCCACTCCGCTTACTTGCGCCCCTGCACCACTGGCCTCACCTTCCCACAAAAGTCATCAAGCCCATCCAGGGGGCCATATGTGAGGATCTGGTTCTCCAATTGCTTCCACTTCCCTTGCACCCACCCACTCCGCTTACTTGCGCCCCTGCACCACTGGCCTCACCTTCCCACAAAAGTCATCAAGCCCATCCAGGGGGCCATATGTGAGGATCTGGTTCTCCAATTGCTTCCACTTCCCTTGCACCCACCCACTCCGCTTACTTGCGCCCCTGCACCACTGGCCTCACCTTCCCACAAAAGTCATCAAGCCCATCCAGGGGGCCATATGTGAGGATCTGGTTCTCCAATTGCTTCCACTTCCCTTGCACCCACCCACTCCGCTTACTTGCGCCCCTGCACCACTGGCCTCACCTTCCCACAAAAGTCATCAAGCCCATCCAGGGGGCCATATGTGAGGATCTGGTTCTCCAATTGCTTCCACTTCCCTTGCACCCACCCACTCCGCTTACTTGCGCCCCTGCACCACTGGCCTCACCTTCCCACAAAAGTCATCAAGCCCATCCAGGGGGCCATATGTGAGGATCTGGTTCTCCAATTGCTTCCACTTCCCTTGCACCCACCCACTCCGCTTACTTGCGCCCCTGCACCACTGGCCTCACCTTCCCACAAAAGTCATCAAGCCCATCCAGGGGGCCATATGTGAGGATCTGGTTCTCCAATTGCTTCCACTTCCCTTGCACCCACCCACTCCGCTTACTTGCGCCCCTGCACCACTGGCCTCACCTTCCCACAAAAGTCATCAAGCCCATCCAGGGGGCCATATGTGAGGATCTGGTTCTCCAATTGCTTCCACTTCCCTTGCACCCACCCACTCCGCTTACTTGCGCCCCTGCACCACTGGCCTCACCTTCCCACAAAAGTCATCAAGCCCATCCAGGGGGCCATATGTGAGGATCTGGTTCTCCAATTGCTTCCACTTCCCTTGCACCCACCCACTCCGCTTACTTGCGCCCCTGCACCACTGGCCTCACCTTCCCACAAAAGTCATCAAGCCCATCCAGGGGGCCATATGTGAGGATCTGGTTCTCCAATTGCTTCCACTTCCCTTGCACCCACCCACTCCGCTTACTTGCGCCCCTGCACCACTGGCCTCACCTTCCCACAAAAGTCATCAAGCCCATCCAGGGGGCCATATGTGAGGATCTGGTTCTCCAATTGCTTCCACTTCCCTTGCACCCACCCACTCCGCTTACTTGCGCCCCTGCACCACTGGCCTCACCTTCCCAC